AAAATAAACAGTACTTATGCATCCTGCCCAAAAGAGGTAGAAGAGAGCTAATAAAAACTTTTCACCGTGGGTCCAGTCAACGTGGGTGGTTTCTGCCAATCCTATGGCAAAGATTAGAGTGAGAACTACAGCAATGGATATAGACAGGATGACAATGCATAACAGTAAAATAACCGACACAGACAACAGTTTGTTTATCCCGTTGGATAGTCAACTCCTCAAGCTTCTGCCCTGCGTAGACTAGTCAGCTTCTAGAGTGACTAGAGCAGGGCTGTCATCCTGTTGTTCATGGTCCTCTGCTGTTTCCTGGGAAGCGGAGTCCTGATGATGAAGGTTGCTGACATTCCGGAGGGTGATCTTACACAGCGAAGCCGGATTGGGGATGCACTCCCACTCTAAGAAGGTGGCTTGACTCAGATTAATGGATCCAGGGAACTATCTCTGCTACTTTAACTGCAGTAGTGGTAGACAAAATAAACAACAAAAGGGCTTCCCCAATGAGTCTTTATTGGTTGAACATTCCATTCCTTTACCCAGACATCCCTTGGCCTGTAAAGATGTGTGGGGGTTGTTAGGCTGGTGAGAAGTCTCTCCTGGTCCCAATCATTGATCTTTGAGAGAGTCACCCTGAGGGCCTGCATCTGCTGCCTCAAGGTGAGGTCACCTATTTCCTTAAGGTCCCCCTTTATGCCCTTGATTAAGGGGGATGGGTGTCCATAAAGGATTTCAAAGGGTAAGAGCCCTGTCCACTTCATGGGACTAGACCTAATCCTTAGTAATGCTTTGGGAAGTAATTGATCCCCCCTGCAGATGGGTCTCCTGGCACAGTTTTCCTAACTCTTATTTTAGGGTTCTATTCATGCATTCCACTTTTCCTGAAGTCTGGGGGTAGTAGACCATATGCAACTTCCAGGTGATTCCTAGGCCCTTAGCTATCAGCTGTACCACCTCTGCCACAAAGGCTGGCCCAATAGACAGGTGTTTCAGACTGAGGGATGGTTTCCTTTAGCAAACATCTGGCCACCTCCCAGGCCTTTTCAGTCAAATGTGGGGAAGGCTTCCACCCATTCTGAGAAGGTACAAACAAACAGTAACAGATATTTGCATTCTCGAACTTGTGGCATTTCAGTGAAGTCTGCAATTAAGTTTTCAAGAGGAGTTCCACCAACACTGTGGAGGCGCTCTTGGCCCTTGTCTGGGGTTATTTTTGGCACATAGGCTGCATCTCTCACATGCTGCCTTACTTATGCTGGAGAGCTTGGGAACATAAAAATGCTGGCCCAGGATGGTCTCAAGGGCTGTTCTCCCTGAATGAGTTCTTTATGTAGGGGCCAGTGACTCAGGTATGGCAATGCAGCCATCAGCAAACTTCCACCTTCCATCCGGTAGAAAATTTCCCTCCTCAGTCTTAAGCCAAGCCTGTTCTTGTGATGTGTACCATGCATCACATTCAGCTAAGGGGCATGGGAACAAGGCAGCTGTCAGAACAGTTGGGGCTGGTCCCCTCGTGAGGGCCACTTGTTTGGCCTCTTTGTCAGCTTTCCGCTTTCCCCAGACAATTGATGCATCTCCCTTCTGGTGCCCTTAACAGTGTATAACTGCCACCCGTTTAGGGACCCACACAGTATCTAGCAGTTCTAGGATTTCCTGCTCATACTTGATATTTTTTCCTCCTGAGTTAATGAGTCCCCTTTCTTTATTATAAGGCCCCATGAACATGAATGGTTGTGAAAGCATATTTAGAGTCAGTGTAGATGTTTACTCACACTCCTGCAGCGAGCTGGAGTGAAGTTTAGCCTTTTGTGCAGACGTTCCAACTGGCAGTGGGCAAGCCTCAGTGACTGAGTCCAAAGTCACCAATGCATATCCGGCAAAGTGTGTGCCATCTCAGACAAAGCTGCTGCTGTGTATGAAATCTTCAACATCCAGATTGCTGATAGGCTGATTGGTTAGATATGGCCAGCTAGAGATAACCTCTAAGCAGTCATGCTCGCAGGGGCCCAAGTCAACTGGCAGTAGAGCGACTGGGTTTAGAGTCTTAACAACCTCCAGCTGGATGCATGGGTTTTCAGATACCATACTCTGGTATTTGCCCATCTGAGAGATAGTCAGCCAATAATTTCCCTTATACTCCATGAGTGTCAGGATGGAGTGGGGAATCAGGACTGTGCCTTCTTGCCCTAGGGTGAGATTGTCTGCTTCTGTCACCAGGGCAGTGGTAACTGCTAGAGCACGCAGGTAAGGCAGCCAGCCTCAAGTTGTTTTGACAAGTAAGCCACCAGACAGTGCCAGGAGCCTAGTAACTGAGTCAGGACCCCACTGGCTGTTCCCTTTTGCTCATGGACATACAGGAAAAAGGGCTTTCATCATATCCACAGGCCTAGAGCAGGGGCATTTGTGAGTGCCTTCTTGATTTCCCTAAAGGCTTTCTCTTGCTCCCTTCCCCTATTAAAGGCTCCCATTCTCCCCCATTTATGGTTTCATAGAGGGGTTTGGCTAGGAGGGAGTAGTTAGGGATACAGATTTGGCAGAAACCTGCAGCTACCAAAAACTCACTAATTTGCTGGCGGGTCTTGGGGTCTGGGATGGAACATACAGCCTGTTTTCTCTCAGGGCCAAGTGAGTGTTGCCCCTGGGACAGGTGAAAGGCAAGGTATTTGACAGTGTTTTGGCAACTCTAGACCTTTTTGCTAGACTTTGTATCCTGCCTCCCATAAAAGAGAAAGGAGAAGGTGTGTCCCTTCCATACAGTCTTCCCAAGTTAGTCCAGCCAGCAGGAGGTCATCTATGTACTGGAGGAGTGTGCAGCTGTGCTGGTCAGCTGAGATGGCTTTTAGGTCAGATGCCAAGAGAGTTCCGAAAATAGCGAGTGAATTTTTGAAACCTTGTGGCAACCGAGTCCAAGCTAGTTGCCTCTTTTCTCCAATATTGGGATTTTTCCCATCGGAAGGCAAAAATCGTCTGGCTCTGTGGTGGGGCCAGGTGGATGCAAAAGAATGAGTCTCTAAGATCTAGGCAGGTAAAAAAACTGTGCCTGAGCTGGGACAAGGCCTAAAAGTGTGTATGGATTTGGGACTATGGGGTGCAAAGTGACAGTTGCTGAATTTACTACCTGAAGGCCCTGAACTGGCCTGAAATCCTCAGTACCCAGTTTCTGGACTGGTAATAAGGGAGTGTGTTTCAGTATGACTGACAAGGTCAGAGGATTCCATATTTTAAGAGTCTGTCAGAGACTTTTTGAATTCCAACCTGGACCTTGCAGGGAATGAAGTACTGCTTCTGGCTGACAGAGTGACTCCTGGCTTTAGTTCCACCACTACTGGGGGCACATTTTGGGCCAGACCTGGGAGAGTTATCTTCAACCCATACACCTGGAATCTTGAAGGGAAGCTCAGGAATCTCAGAGGCCTCCCTTCATTGGCATAGAGCTGCCATTCCTCTTTTTGTGCAACCGTGAGGTTTAGAGTCTTTACCTCAGGTCCTCTCAACTTTAATGCTGCTCTGCCATCTGAATCAAAAGTTATCTGTGCTCTCAGCTTCCATAAAAAGTCCCTGCCTATCAGGCCCACAGAGCTATCAGGGAGATAAAGGAATTAATACCTTACTTCATGACTCCCAAGATTGCATCGTCTAGCCATTAAGAAGGGGCAGTGGATCTGGTCTCCTGTAGCCCCAATAATAGTTTTATGCTTGTTAGAATGGGAACCCACTGATTGGGTCACAACTGAATGTTCTGTGCCCGTGTCCACCATGAAATCAGCAGGATGGCCCCCTATTTTTATTTGGACCATAGGCTCCTGGGGGCCCAGTAGAATGGAGACCAGTCTGTCCTAGTCCTCCTCCTCCTCATAGCCCTCTAGGCCTGCCAGACTGACATTGTTTTCTTCCCAGGGACTGGCTCCCCTGTAGGTGGTCTGATATTTTCCTTTGACAACTGGGCCTCTGCCTCTGGTCTGGGGGGTCTTTTGGGAGTCCCTGGCCCATTGGGGACAATCATTATTCCAGGGCCCTTCCTTATGACAGTAGGCACATTGATGTCGCCCTAGTTCCTTCCTAGGACAGGGGTATCCTGGCAACATTTTGTCATCATCCTCAGGGATTGCCTCTGCCCCTGCCTGGATTAGCTCGCCAGGGTCCACCTGACTGTCCAGCAAGGGCTGCTGCAAGGAGATCCACTTTCCTTTTCATCTTCCTGTCAGCCTCCCACCTTGCCTTCTGATCCGGATTGACAAAAATCTTTGTGGCCACCTCCAGAAGCTGGCTAGCATTCATTCCTGAGAATCCTTCCAGTTTCTGCAATTTTCACCTTATGTTCCCCTGGGCCTGACCAACAAAAGTGGCATTAATCTCTGCTTGTTTTTAGTGGCTTCCGGATCAAAGGGGTTTACAAACGGAAGGCCTCACACCTACACTTATAGAACTGGCCAGGATTCTTATCCGGCCCTTGGAGGACCTCTGATGTGCTCATGTTCATGGCCTCCTTCCTTCATGCCCCTCAATAATGCCTCCTGATACTGCTCAAGTTGCCAGTAATCTCAGTCATCATTGGGGTCCCAATGGGGGTCTTTCTCAGGGAAGTGGGCCTGAGCATATGCCAGGGTTTGATCTTCTAACCACTTTAGAGCTGCCAGTGTTATACAGCACCACTCTTCAGTATTAAATAGAGTCAGAAGAAGCTGTCAACAGTCTGTCCAGGTGGGTTTGTGAGTCTGGATAAACTACTCTATTAAATCAATCAGCATCTGAGGCTTTTCCATGAACGAGGGGGTATGATTTTTCCAATTGAGAAGGTCTGTGGTGGTAAAGGGTTGATAGATAAATCTCTGTCCTCTTCCTTGTATTTGGCCTTCCTGGTCATAATACATGGGGCTCTGGGCTTCCCTTGGGCATCTGCAGGGCAGCGAGAGTCTGAGGAGAGGAGGGGGTCCTCAAGGAGACTGGTTAGATGCTCCTGATCAAATGAGAGATGTTCAGTGAGAATTAGTGGACTTGGAGTCGGCATGGAGTCCATAGGACTTGGGGAGGTCAGGGAGCCTGGAGTCCCAGGGGCTTCCAGGCCAGATTTTACAGGTGTGACTGTCCCTTGAGTTTCCTCTCCAATGTCAGAGGTGGGGGTGTGGAACTGTGTACTGGTGGCAGAAGTGGATAAATTGGCACATGGGATGGTGGTATTTCCTAAGGTTCCTCAGCCAGTATAGGTTCCTTTGTTTTCTCCCTTACACTTGGAAGGTGCAGCCATCCTAGCTACCATAATTCTACAGGCCTCTTCCAGACAGGGCCTTAGCCATGTGGACTGGTTGAGGATAGCAGCCTGCCAGCAGTCAATATAGGGAAATTGATCTAGGTGCCCAGGCCTTCCTACAATTGCCCTATAAACTTCATTAACCACAGTTTCATCTAATGACCCTTCTGGGGGCCACCCTACACCAAGAGCAGGCCAATCTACTTCATAAAGGGCCTTAAGCTTGTTAGGAGTTAACTCCATAATTTCCATTAAATCTCTTTTTAAAGTTTTTAACCATACACTCCAAGGGAGTGTTTATACTCTGATTTTCACCCATCTCCTTCTGTTACCAGATGGCAAAACAGACTCAGAGGGGTAGGCATTTTGGAGGAGAGGTAAAGGGGGGCCTCTTCTCTGACACACAAGGGAGAACAATACATACCCCTTATCAGTGGCCTGGATGCTGTTGCCTGGCCAGTAACTACACCTACACAGGGTCCTCACTCCCTTTACAGGGATTTGGTCATCTCTTTGGCTGTAGTGAGTTCGTATAAACAAAGGACTGGAGGCCCTGTTAGGGCTCACCCTTGACCTGTATGAATTCACCACAGACCCATGGATTGGGACTCCACACTCACGTTGCAGTGGGCTGCATCTCAGGCTCATACTTTTACACAGTCTCACATAGCACAGTACTTCCACCCTACACCCTGAACCTGAGAGACACAGTTTCACCCAAAAGGCAAAAGGTGTCTCACTGGGAGTTGATCAGACTCCCCTTCTGCCTCCTGAGGCAGGCCTGAATTCAAACCCAGGTTTTTACCAGTCTATGGATGGCACTCCCATCACTGGTTCTTGTGCCTCACTGGGTTCTATTGTGTGGCTGAGCACTCACCCCAACTCTCTGGGAGGATAAGTCCCCTTCCAGATCAAGCTGTCCACTGGCACCTGTTGGGATCACTTCTCCAGGCAGGCCGGAGAGCACACCCCTGCAACAATGGAGGTGGAAAGCACCATCTCTGCAATCCCAGCAACCCCCAGAAGTATTATGGGAACTCCAACAGAGACACGGGACATTGAGACAAGGAAGCAGTGCTTTATTGTGCCAGTACAGACTCAGTGGACTCATGTCCACTGAGCCCTGAGAACAAAGGGGTCTCACCTTATAAACCCTTTCAAGGAGGTTACAGAGGAAATAAATAGATAGATAGATAGATAGATTGATTGATTTAACCCATGTATGGTTATATGCAATTCTATAGGCTGCTTCACCCTACTGCTAAGTGCCCTTCTACCCCTATGTGACCCTCTTCACATTTGGATTCTTTAGGTTTTATCTCTCTGCTGTGCCATCCCTTCTAACTTGCTACTTTATCAGAACACAGGCCTGTCTGTTTTTTTTCTGGTCTTCCTCCCTGTTACAGGTTTTTTTTTTTTGGTTTGAGATTTTTTGTAGTTTTTTGTTGGTAGTGGTTCTGGGGATTGAACTCAGGGCCTCCCACATTCTAGGCAAGTGCTGTGTCACTGAGCCACATCCTCCTCCCCTCTAATATTGAAGGTTCTAATTTAAAATTAGAAAATTTAAATTCTTCTACAATTAATTATGATTTTCCAACAGTATTCATACTCTATTTCCAAGCCTTTTCAGCTCCTCCAGCCTAGCACTCTAGGAAATACCATCCCAAACATAGTGAGTGCTGTTTTTATGCCATTCATTTTGCATGTTTAGCTTTACCTTACTTATTTTTTTTAATTTTTAAAAATTTGTTATTGTAACTTTGCTCTAATGTTTACTTTGAACTTCCTTTATGTTTTCAAAAGGAAAAGAATACTTATTACCCCACTGCCATTTTTATAGGGTATCTTTTCTTTTTACTTAAATAAAGATTTTTTTTAGTTGCTCATAGCAGAAACTTATTTAATTACCTTAAGAAAGAAAAACAGGAAGATTGTATTACAAGAAAATGGAGGTAACACTTTGTTGATTTGCTGTTTGCTTAGTTTAGAAGCCTCAGAAAAGTCTAGGAGCCATAGAGTCCTTAAGAACCTAGGCATTTCCTCTTCCCATGTCTGTCATTCTCTTTTCCTCTGGTTGCATAGTCTCATATGTCTGCTTCTCTCTGCATACTTGCTCTTTGTTGTGTGATTTTTGGACAAGTCTTAAGTGTGTTTGTTTGTCTTCAAAAAATTGTATATTCATTTTCTGTGCAACTATAACAAATTACCATTTGCCTTAATGCATCAGCAATTTATTCTTTTACAATTCTTAAAGTCAGAAGTCCAAATCAGTATCACTGGACTCAAACTAAGGTGTTGGCCTAGCCCTGATTCCTTTGTAAGCTCTAAGGAGAAGAGAACACATTCTCGTCCAGCTTCTGGAGATTGCTGGCATTCCTTGGCTTGTGGCCAGTTTCTCTACTATTATCAGATCTCCCTCTTACCTATGTCACCATGACTCTCCTTTAACATTGACTTCAAGTTATTTTCTTTACATTTATATCATTATTGCATTAAGTGTGGACCTGTGAGGATAATGAAAATAATAGCTAACTAGAAAATTAGTAAACTAATATAAGAAACTAATATAAATAAGTAATAGCTAATTAAATGTCCATTGTAGCCAAGCACTGGGATGAGTATTTTTATCCATGGTACTTATAATACTCATTTTATAGATAAAAGAGAAATAAGATGGAGAAGTAAAGTAATTTAATTTGCCCAATTCAGCCAGTTGGTACCAGCACTGGGGTAGGATCTCTCTAAATTTAAGGACTCCCTCTTCTTCAAGGCATAATGATTAACACCATCATTATGTCTTGCCTCTCTTGGGGCATTCACCTCTGGTTTCCTGCCTTGGCTTCTGATCACAACGTTCCCTGGAGTTTTCTTGCTGGCTGTGTTTCATACCACAGTTCACCAGAGTGCTTTTTTGTCACATACATGTTCTTTGGGAGTCATGTGGTACTGAGTAAATGCAATTTGAAGAAAAAGGAGAGCTGTTTTCTAGCCTGAGTCTCTTCTTGACTAACTTGTTCGTTGCTATCCAGTAACTTCTTTGGCCATGGAGATTATGCTGGTTTATTTATACCCTAGCCTAGAAGAGGTGTTCTGCTAGTGCCAGGGACCTTTCTTTCTTTCTTTCTTCCTTTTTGTTTTTTTGGTGAGGGAAGGGAGGATCAGTGCTAAGGATCAAACTCAGCCTTGAACTTGCTAATAAGCAAGAGCTCTGGGTTACATACTCAAGCCTACTACCAGGGACTTTTGTTCACAGTTGTATTCATGTCTTGGAAGAGTGTCTGGAATAGAATAGTTGCTTCATAAATATCTGTTGTTTGATTGGTGGCTAGCTTACTGGGCATGGTTTAGACTTCTTCACTCATTAGCAATTACAGCTATCATTTATTGGGTGTATAGCATGTATAGCTAGGCATTTACATAAATAGTCAATAATCTTTACCATCTTTCCACAGGGTGACACTGGTGGGCTGTGGATGAAGAGAAGGGAGAGGGAGTAATCAAAGATATTTCTAGGTTTTTGACTTGGATATTAATCCAAGTATACATGGGAAGGTATATGAGTTCATTTTAAAAAGAATATAGGTCATGTTTATGGTAGCTAGCTGCCTGTGGATCTAGTCCTAGGACAAAGATTCCACATCTTCTCCCAAATTCCCTGTTTCCCAGTTAGCCTGAAGTTGGCTGTGGTCTTTATCTACCCAGAGCAGAGTTGCCTGTTTTAGGAACTGTAGATTTAAAGCCATTATTTCTACTGTGCTCTAACTTGGACATGTTCAGTTTCTGTTCCAGATGATCGAACTGAACAACGAACCTGTCTTATTTGTGGGGACCGTGCTACAGGTTTGCACTATGGGATCATCTCCTGTGAGGGCTGCAAAGGGTTTTTCAAGCGGAGTATTTGCAACAAACGGGTATATCGGTGCAGTCGTGACAAGAACTGTGTCATGTCTCGGAAGCAGAGGAACAGGTGCCAGTACTGTCGCCTACTCAAATGCCTCCAGATGGGGATGAACCGGAAAGGTGAGTGATGCTCAAGACTCTTGCTTCCCACCCTTCACCCATCACTGTGCATTTGTGTCGGTTATTGTATTCTAGAGTTATTAATTTCCCAAGCCTGAACTATATGGCAGGCCTTATACTGTGTACTCATAACCTGAAAATGAATGTGGCTCACTTCCTGTTGGCAGAACTCTTCCAGTCTCTGTTGGAGAGACTGGTATAATGTTAAGGTTCCTATGCACGTGCATGCATAGGCCCTGTGTTACAGGACTCCAGGTAACTGGCATTAATATGTCCCACTAGTTTTTCAAGGAATGATGATAATAAGTAGGAATTTGAATGGAAAGGCATGGACTGGTGGAGTGGCTCAAGTGGTAGAGCACCTGCCTGGAAGGCATGAGGACTGAGTTCAAACCCCAGTGCCATCCAAAAAAAAAAAAAAAAAAAAAAAAAAAACAGAACCATAAATGGAAAGGCATGAGGCAGAAGGTTCTCTGAATAGGATAATAGGATTTTTTTTTTTTTTTTTTTTTTAGAACCACGCATATTCAGAAGCTCGGCATGTTTAGAAGTCTGTGTTAGAAGTTTGGTGAAGAATTTGGGTTTATTAGGAAGCTTCCTTCCTGAGATGACATGAACAGACTAACATTCTAATAAAGATTAATATGGATGGCAGGTTTGAAGGCTGTATTGGGGTAGGAGAAGCAGAAAGCCCACCTAGAAAGGTTTTAGAAACACTAAAAAGGTGCAGAGCATCTGGAGGAGGGGAAAAGACATATTACAGGTGAGAGATGTGGAAGAAACTAAAACATCTTTTGACATGCCATAATCTTGGTGGGCTATTGTGATCTTTTTGGTGGTACCGGGGCTTGAATTTAGGGCCTCATTCTTGCTAGGCAGGCACTGTACCACTTCAGCTGTTCCTAGATACCGTATTGACTGTATCATCCTGGTTATTTAGTTGGAGTGTAAGATTTCTGAGGCTTCCAGCCAAACTCACCTGTTTTTTTTTTTTTTTTTCATTTTTCTTTTATTATTCATATGTGCATACAAGGCTTGGTTCATTTCTCCCCCCTGCCCCCACCCTCTCCCTTACCACCCACTCCACCCCCTCCCGCTCCCCCCCTCAATACCCAGCAGAAACTATTTTGCCCTTATCTCTAATTTTGTTGAAGAGAGAGTATAAGCAATAATAGGAAGGAACAAGGGGTTTTGCTGGTTGAGATAAGGATAGCTATACAGGGCATTGACTCACATTGATTTCCTGCAAACTCACCTGTTTTAAGAAGAAAAAACTTAACCTTGTAACTCCTCTAAACATATCCTGGAGAACATGACACATGGAATTTCAGGATTAGCAGGCTGGCTCCATTGCCCAGTGGAGGCTGCTTCTCAAAGAGAAACCCTGCCACCTTCTGGTTGATGCTGAGAAAGCCGGGCTAAAATCACAGTCACCATGAGAGGTATTCTGTATGGAACTGTGGTGGCTGATGCACAATTCTGTGCATTCATCAAAACCCATAAAACTATATACCACAAAAAAGTAAGTTTTTCTGGATATGAAAACTAATTTTAATCAACTAGGATGTGGTAGAGTAGGAGTGGGGGGTGGTGAAGAGATCCAGTACATGCTGTGATGATGAATTAATCTAATTGGTATTAAAATGAATCACATAAACACATTGAGGGGGATAAAGAGGAAAGGAACTGACCTTAGAAAACAATGTTTTGACTATATTTTAAGGTCAAAGACAAATAAAGTACCCTAGTTTGTAAAATTTGTTTGTGTCAAGGCTATGTGTTAGGAATTCTGTCCCTACTTTAATTGCACACTGTAGTTGAAGAAGTAAATATATTATAGATAATGAGGATCAGGTTTTGAATATCAGAGAAAGAAGTTACAAATCAGGAAAGGGGGAGACTAGAATGAATCAGTATCAATGTGGGACTCTTGTTTAAGAAAAGTGGATAGAAGGGAGGGAGGAGGAACACAGGTGTGTGAGTACATGAGTTAGTATGCATTCATGGATTTCCAAGTTCTAGCCATTATGAGAGACTAGAAGTGGTGCTAGTTGCCACAAGCACACCTAGCACTGAGATCTTTTCTTCTAAATATCAATAAAAGGAATTAGGATTCCAAGGGACTAGTTGATTTCAGGACTGCAATAGGGAAAATATGAAATTAGTTTGGAGTATCTTGTGGTGCCAGAAAATTAGGAAGTCCTTAAAAAGAAAAGAAAAGAAAATATATCAAACGGGCTCAGAACTTACCCTGAAAGAGCTTCAAGTGGCCAAAGTTGGAACAACTTGGCCAGCAGAATAATTCTAGTATTACTTTATAATCCCAGAAATAAAATATACATATGTTCATACTTTTAAAAAAATCCGAGTAAATAAACAGAAGTGACAAACCTTCCAGTGACTAAATGTAGAAGGCATGAAGGAAATAGAAAATCATTGTTAGAACACCACAGTACTAACTGCTTTGGGCAAGACCACTGATAGATGCCAACATAAGTGAGCATTGGTTTAAACAAAAACAGAATATTTGTATAGTCTGAACATATTTAGTGATTGCAAAGGGGAAAAATAGTTTCAGCTGAGATGTACGTTAGTCAAGCAGTTAAGGTTATCACTAGTAAAACATTGACTTTATATACACCTGATGATAGGCTGAGAAGGCACGGGTATATACACACAGAGAACTACATTCGTTCTTGGTCTAATAATGAGAAATCAGAAAAGTCCATATTGAGGGGCATTTTTCAACATAACTGACATTCTATAAGATACTCTTGAAAAGTGTCAAGGTCACAGAAGATAAGCAAAGACTATAGAACTGTAAAAGAATGGAGAAGACTTATGGAGACATTGCTACTAAATGCAGTGTGGGATCCTGGATTGGCCTCTGAGCACAAAAAAAGAGCTAAGAAGAGCAACTGTAGAAATCCAAATAAAGTCTTTACTTCTTTGGTTAATAGTCTTGTACCACAGTTAATTTCTTAGTTTTGAAAAATAGTCTATGGATGTAAAGTATTCACAGAAGGGAAAACCTAGGTGTAGAGTAAGTAGAAACCCCATATTGTTTTTTGCAACTCTTCTGTCAAAGTGTAACCTTACCTCAACATTTTACAAAATAACTTTAAAAAAATGTGCTGCCACTGTGATTGATGCTGTCTGTGAGCCAGCCCTCTGTTGTCCTCCTTCCCGAGAGAACTAAATATCTTTCCTAAAAGTTGACTGATTGGGAAATTAATTAGTAAGGCATTAAATGAGCGCTAAAGAAGAGTGCTAAGTGGTGGCTGAGCCCTGTCTGTCTGTCCTCAGGGATCCCCCAGTGCCCTGACATGAACCCTCATACCCATGTTGCAATCTTCAGAATAAAGTTAGCTCCTTACAGTGATTTTCAAGGCATCAGCCACTTCATCCCTTCCCTTCACCTAGGGCTGTTTCTCATCACAATATGCATTCCAACCCACTTCTCCAAACAGTCCATGTTTTAAGAGGTTTGCACATGTGGTTTCATCTTCCTGGAATGTTTTACCACTCTCTTCATGTGACTAATTATTGTGTACTTTTCTTTCAAGACTCAACTTTTATTTGTAACATCTCTAAGAGGTCTTTGCTGACACATATACCCTTCCAGATGACCCTCCTGTGTTTCCACAGCCTTTGGTACTCTCTGCTTTTCTTTCTCTGTGTCTCCCAGCAGATAACCCAGTAATGGGCTGCTTCCTGATAGGATGAATTGACTGGGATGGAGGGCCATAGCAAGAAGTATGGGGGCAGAAATCTGTTGAGAGAATCTATATTGGGATTCCATGTCAATTAAGTAATTATTTGAAAAAATTAATAATTCCTTAACTTTGTGTCTCAACTTGCTAATTACAGTAATTAGTTCAAAAGTTACAGTTAGCCAGGCATTATGGTACACATCTGTAATCCCAGTGCTCAGGAGTACCTCGAATTCAAAATTCTGCCTGAAAACAACAACAAAAAGTTAAAAAAATCAAGGAAAGCTTCTTCCTTAGAATAGGTGATGCTTGCAGAATGGCATTTTGAGACAGTGATCCTCTGGCATTGAATAAAATGCACCCTAGGATGCAGCACAGAGGCCTGAGGGGAGCACTCAGAAATCTCAGAGGAGGAGGACTGAGCAGAATCTTGAAGAAATCAAAGTTCAGGCTCCTTATAAACTTAAAGGGCTAAGATTTCAAACTTTAACATGATTTCATACTTACAGAAATTTTGTAACAGTAGAACTTTACTTAGTCTTCAAACAAATTCACCAGTTGCTAACATTTGGCCCCATTTATTTTATCACTCTCTTTGCTTGTGTTCTCATGCTCACACTGTTCGCACTGTGTGCGCATGTGCACATGTGTGTACGCTAGCCACTTGGAAGTAAGACCACAGAACTGTACCAAAATCAGGACATTTAACATGATGAAATCCTACTCTCTAATTGCAGGCCTAATTCAACTGTCGGCAATCATCCAAATGTCCTTTATAGCAATTGAATTGTTTTTTCATCAAGGAGCTAATCTAGGATCATACCATACATTTATTTTTTTATGTCTCTTTAGTCTGAAATGGTTCCTCACCTTTTCTTTGGCTTTAATAACATTGTTGATTTTGAAGCAAATAGGAAATTTACTTTGTAAAATACTCCTCAACTTGGGCTTGTCCGTTTCCTCAGGATTAGATTCAGGTTCCTTATTGTTGGGAAGAATTCACACAAACAGTTTTGTATTCTTAGCACATCATCTCAAAAGCAGTGATACAAGGTTGTCCCACCATTGCTGATGCTAACTTGAATTCCATGGTTGAGGTGATATCACCTGGGTAAGGTGGTGGTACCAGATTCTCTACTACTTTAAAGGGTTTTGTTTTGTTTTGTTTTTGTTTTTTTGAGTAGAGGCAGCATATGTAGTTCAAATCTATGTGAGACCACATGACATGCATGTTCAGGCCTGGCAAATGGTTTTGTGTAGAGAGAGTGTAGAGATGTGGGTGGGAATCACACAGGAACTAGAGAAAGCCAGGCCAAGCAGCTTAGACTTAGTTTTTAGGCCAGAGAGAAGCAGCAGGGCTGTGGTGCAGTGTGACGTCTTCCTCGGGTTTCTGGTTTCTGGGTATGCAACAGTAGGCATATCTGCTGCTTTTGAGCAGATAGAAAAACCATGGCTGGCACTGTTCTCTTAAGCTAGGACAAGAGGTGAGGCAGAGGTACTCATGTAACAACCATGTAGGTCACTGTAGAAAGACTGTAAGTCCTGCTGAAAACCTGTTCTTGTAACAAGCATAGTTTCAGATCAAGGGGCATGGATTGCATGCATCTCTAATGACTACTTCACCCTCAGTGCTATGTGACCTTCCTCACATTCAAGTTCTCTTATTTCCCTGCTATGTCGTCCCCTCCTCCCTGCTACTATATGAGGCAGTATAACACCATGTAATTTTTCAGGCAATTTCATGCCATATTGACAGATTTTTATCATTTCTGACTAAATCAGTACTATTGTTTACTTTATATTCTAATGGGGAGGGAGAGTACTGGAATTTGAACTCAAGGTCTCATGCCTGCTAGATAGGGACTCTGTCACTTGATCTATGCCACCAGCTCTTTTTTCTTTAGTTATTTTTTTCATGTAGGAGCTCATATTTTTACCCAGGGCTAGCCTAGACCATGCCTCCCACCCAGCTGAGATTACAGGTATTGCATCACCACATCCAGCTTGTTTGTTGAGATAGGGTCTCACTAAATTTGAGATAGAGTCTCAATAAATTTTGCCCAGGTTTGCCTTGAACCATGACCCTCCCAATTTCTGCTTCACATATTCACTACCATGCTTGAATTTTTGTTGTTGTTATTGTTGTTGAATTAGGGTTTGAACTCAGTGCTTTGTGTTTGCAAAGCAGGTGATCGATCTACTGCTTGAGCCACGCCTCCAGCCCATTTCGGAGATGAGGGTTTCACCAACTGTTGCCCAGGGCTGGCCTCAAACTATGAGCCTCCCAGTCTCAGCCTCCTAAGTAGGCATTGGCACCCAGCTCTTAAAGTCTTCTTTATTATTTTTATTCTTTGTTATTCAGCCAAAGCTGTTGAATAATAGGGGGAAGGGGATAAAACATAAGAGAAGCATAAAGGGCGATAATCTGCTGAAAGTAGTTACTCCCAGGTGAAATACCACGGAAACCCTTTAATCAATGAATATACACTCGAAAAGATAAAGCACGGAATGTAAAACAATCCATTAGGGGGAGGCCCTAGTGGGAGGGGACTTGTGTGAAAACATAACAATGAAACCTGTTGAAATTGTTTTAAGTAGGGGGAAGGAGAATGATGGTGAAGGTGAACCCAACCAAAATACATTGTAAGCATATATGGAAATGTCACAATAAAACCCCCTATACAACTCCTATTGTATGTAATACATAGTATAGAAAATATATAATATATATGAAAATGTTATATAAAATTTTTAAAGCAGTATAGTTAAAAGATTAACATTAATTTTCAAAGGGAATTTATCACTTCAGTGAGTGAAAAAATGATTATTTTCATGCACATTAGAATAAACACAGATGGGTTATAAGGGGCTGGGCTGAAGCTCATTGGTACAGCATTGGCCTCGAATGCAAAGGGTCCTCCATCAATCCCCCCAGCGGCCCCCCCCCCCACCCCGCCACACAAATGTCTGGAATTAACTAAAAGAATCTTGCATTTTTCCAATAGGACAGGTACACATAATGGGAGACACTGGTATTTGAAAGATGCCTGGTCTTAGAGTTTCATAGTCTGAATTCCAACCCTGATTCTGATGTTTAGTTTCTGTCTCCTTAAGGAAAATGCTTCTTCTCTTTGAGCCTTAGACACCAGCTCTTGAGTGGGAATGATACTAATTTCCACTTAAGTATCTAACCCATAGTCCACACCTATCATCTCTGAGTTCCTTATTCCATGTGGGCTTGAGAGAGAACATGAGCTTTTCAATTTCAAGAAATTGGCAAAATGTAGATCTTTAAGATTTGTGGGGTTTTGTTTGTTTTGGGCGGTACTGGGATTTCAACTCAGAGCCTCATGCTCACTAGGCAGGCACTTTGCCACTTGAGCCAATCCACCAGCCCAGATTTGTGTTCTTTAAACAAAAAAGTAAAGCATGTTTACTTCTTTCCTCAGGACAATGAGCGTGAGCTGTCAGCAGAAGTGGACAGTGTTGTACCTGCCAGCAATAAGTCTTCGCTCTGTAGCTGTGAGCTGAAGCCAAGACACATGAGATGACATTATTGGAATAGGAAGTGACTGAAGATTGTCACTGACCCTGGAAAGCAAGGAAGGGATTTTAAAGATTTTTAGAACTTGAAATTAGATTGAAAGAGACTTCCAGACAACAGCATATATCTAGTTTTAATATAAGCCATTTATGTTTCACACTCCAAATTCACAGCAGGCTTATAGAACAGACTATGTTGTCTCCATTTGACATGTGAACATATAAGACTCTTGCAAAGTTGAGTATGGAAACTTGGTTTGCTCAACCCCTACATTCAGAGAAAAGAGGTTGGAGAGAGAAGAAATTGTTATTGAGTATCAGGTTTCTGTGCCAGGCTCCAGGCTTGATGTTTTAGCTATACTGTTTTATATAATTTGACAAGTACCAGTATCCCTTCTTTACTCTCCAGAAACCTGAGGTTTAGAGGGTAAATAAATTTGTCTGAGCCAGGTGCAGTGGTTTACCCCTATAATCTTAGCTACTCTAGAGGCAGACGTCAGGAGGATTCCAGTCTTGAGTCTAGCCCTGGGCAAAAGTGAGAGACCCTATTCAAAAAATAACTAAAGCAAAAAAGGGCTGGAGGCGTGGCTGTAGTGGAAGAGCACTTGCCTAGAAAGCTCAAGACCCTGTGTTCAAACCCCAGTATGGTCACCAAAAGAAAAAAAAGAAATTTGTCTGCATTTACACAGATGAGGCAAGATTTAGACCCAAACTTGTCTGATTTTGAAGTGTAAAATCTTCCAAGGACACAAGAATGATGTCTACTTGAAGGAAAATGGACTTCCTGTCAGCTTTTCAGTTACTACAAAAAACTACATGTCATTTTGGGAGCCTTCATCTTTTGAGGCAACCACCCTAACCCCGAGGACTCGTAAGATTATGTTCTTGTTTTATTTTGGTGGTGGTGGGTAGCCACACTTGCTCTCTCTGTCATTATAAACATTACCTCCTTCAAGTCACCTTTCACAGTGGCTGTCACAAAGATTTTTTAAAAATGCCAGTGTGACCATATCACTCCCCTGCATTCCTGCTTGTCTCCAGGCTTCTCAGCTAACATCCACACTGTTAGCCTGGTGTTCTAGGCTCTTTATGATCCAGCCCCATTTGGCCTCTACAGCCTCTTCGCTGTTTCCCACCCATAACTCATCTTCCTTACTTACGAGTCCCCAGAAATAACAGTCCATTCTTACTTTCATCTTGAAGATTTTTTTTTTGTATACAATTCACTCAACCTCTGGAGTACTCTTACTGCTTTCCTAAATCATCCTCATCCTTTAAGACTCGGTTCCATCCGGGCACCAGTGGCACATGCCTGTAATCCTAGCTACTCAGGAGGCGGAGAGCTGGAGGATCGTGGTTTGAAGCCACCCCAAGCAAAAACAGTTCTCGAGACCCTATCTTGAAAATACCCAACACAAAAAAGGGCTGGTTGGAGTGGCTCAAGTGGTAGAGGGCCTGCCTAGCAAGGATGAGGTCCTGAGTCAAATCCCAGTAACACCAAAAACACTTAGTTCAAAGTTATCTTTTCCAGAAGCCTTTGCCTGAAGCAGCGTCCTACTTTAATTGCAAATTGGGACTTCCTTCTCTGTGCCTGCATATTAAGTGCTCCTATAACAGTGATGATAATATTATTACTAGTTCCTAGTAAGGCTTGTACTATTTCAAGGATGTTTTGTATAGTAAGAAAATGCTAAGTAAGCTCCTTCAACTTCAGAGAACTCTACTTTGCAAGGAGGAACCAGTGAGATCACAGTTCTGATTAATTTTTAAAAAGTTTAAAACAAAATACCCATTCTCCAAGGACTGAGGATAAAACTCAGAGGCAGAGCCTCATGTGCAGGACCCTGGGTTGTCTCTAATAACACAAAAACAAATCAAAACAAAATTCCCTGTTCCTACAAATTAGACTTAAACTAAGTCTTGGAATAAAAAATACTTTATTTAAAAATGAAAATATTCTCTTCATCTGCCCCACCACACATATACCCCTACCGCCCCTAAAATTTGCCAAGGCCTTCAAGATGCATACTCCTGGTGAAATATCTGGAACTATGGGACTAGTTAACAATTCTGCCATGTTGAGCAGTATGTGTAATATGTATCCACTGCCTTTCGGAGCCAAAAGTATCTACTGCCTATGGAGGTAATCCTGCAAAAGTGGAATATGTGCTTTGGGTCCAGAAAGAATTGTGCTGTAATCTTGGCTTCACCATTTTAGTGTCTTACACTTTTGGCCAAATAAGTTCTCTTATTGTGCATAAACTTCTTGAGCTTAATTCTGACTGTCTTGACTTAATTCCCTTTCAGCTATCCGAGAAGATGGCATGCCTGGAGGCCGGAATAAGAGCATTGGGCCCGTCCAGGTGAGTTCTGAGCCGCTCTCGGTCCATGGTGGAAGCCTGGGGCTCCCGTGCTCCAGCAGCTGCTCACCTTGGCCCTTCGTGGCCAGAAGAAGTCACCATTGCTTTTGTTCTCCTGAAAGCGGCTTTTTACAGCGTGGATGTGAAAGTTCTGTGACCATCTTGAATTCATACGTTAATGACTGAAGCTTTCTGTGATCCCTCAACCCAAAGGATTTCATAGACAGTGAACTCAGTTCTGGTTCTGAACTATCCAGAGAAATGTTTTTGTCAATCACTTAAGGTTGTAGATAACTGCCTGGCAGAAATCAGCAAGATTACCTTGCTGTTCATTTTATCTAAAGCTGTATCAGCAGAATGTTCATTACCTTATTTGTAGAGTAGGAATAATAATACCCCACTCATTCCCACAAGTATTCACTATGTTCCCACTCTGCCAGGCTGTCTACTGTGAAGTCAGTCTATAAACAGACACCATAGTACAGGGAGAGATAACAGAGCATACCCAGGGCGACCATCCTTCCTGAATGCAAGTGTCAGGGCTTCTGTTCTTTTTGCGGATTGGAGACACTCAGGGAAAGCTTCCTCAAGATGGCAAAGTTTGAGTCTTGGAGGAGGAAAATCAGCTGATAAATCTTTAAGTTATGCCAAGGAGTTAGTTCAGTGAGGCTGCAGCATTAGGCACACGGAGTAGAGAGGCAGGAGGTAAGTCAGATACCTTGAATTTGGAATCAGTTCTCTAACGAGTGGCCTTCAACCATCCTTGACTATGGCTCTTAGTAAGGCCTTTGTAGTAAGAACCCTTGTTCTTCCCTGCCATCAGAAGAACCTCAGGAGGGTAGAGAATTGGATCTACTTAGGACCACCCATCAAGTGAATCCCTCAGCACACTAGTGTGCCAGGACCAGGCCTTAAGAATGTTTAGTGTGGACAAAGAGGCAACAACTAAATGATGTTAGTAGGGAGAGGGTCAAATACAGATTAGCATTTTATAAAAATTCTGGCAGTGGAACTAGTTCGTGAAGAACAGAATGAGGCTGAGTGATACTGAGAAAAAGAATGGTTAAAGGGTTTTACAAAAGTCCAGTCCTAGAGATAGTGCTAATAAGGAAATGGCAGTGCAGATTGAGAGGAGAGGATAAATTCAAGACGTAGTCCATAGGTATAGTAATAGAATTTCTCCAATTGAATGTGGGAAGAAGTAGGAGAAAGATAGGAGCTCACAGACAATGTATGAGACATTTTCTGTCATATGAGCCTGGTACAGTATGCACTCAATCATAAGACTCCCAACTTTGCCATATTCTTTTTTTCACCCAAACATTTTTATTCTTGTTACTGAAGTCATATTATAGCTCTTAGATATTAAGGTTTTTTTTGTTTGTTTGTTTTGGTGGCATGGGAGTTTGAACTCAGGGCCTCACACTTACTAGGCAGGTGCTCCACCACGTAAGCCACTCCGTCAGCCGCATACATAGCTCTTAAAAACTGATGTATTTTTGCCTAGTGCCAGTGCCTTAGGCTATAATCCAAGTTACTTGGGGTGCTGAAATCAAGAGGATTGATGTTCTAGGCCAGCCCTGCAAAGTTTGAGAGACTCTATCTCCAAAATGACCAGAGAAGAATGGACTGGAGATGTGACTCAAGTGGTACAGCGCCTACTTTATGAGGACAAAGCCCTGAGTTCAAACTCCAGTCCTACTCAAAAAATATATATATATATAATAATAATTTATTTCAGTCTGGACTAACAGCTGCTCTTTACATTTTAAAAAGTAAAAAACATGGAACATATGACCTACCTGACAAATTTTAAGTATACAATACAGTGTCACTAACTATATGCACATTATTATACAGCAGGTCTCTAGACATTTCTCCTCTTGCAACCCTGAAACTGTCCACTGAACAATTCCACATTCTTCCCCTTCTCCCTAGCCCTAGCAACCACGGTTCCGCTTTCTTCTTCTGAAAGTTTTGAGTAGGTTAGATACGTCAGAGAGTAGAATCATGAAAAATTTGTCCTAGGTAGACCCTCTACTACTTGAGCCATGCCCTGGTTCTTTTTGCTTTAGTTATTTTCAGGATAGGGTCTGGAGTTTTTGCCTGGGCCACTTGGACCACAGTTCTTCTATTTATGCTTCCTATGTAAATGGGATGACAGATGAGCACCATGCCTACCTCTTGGTTAAAAGGCAGTGTCGCTAACTTTTTGCCTGGGTTGGCCTTGACCATCAATCCTCCTGATCTCCAACATCTGAACAACTGGGATTATAGGCATGAGCCACCTTGTCCAACGAAGAACCTTAATATTTAAGGAACTACCATACTGTTTTCCTAGTGCCCACCAATAGTACACAGGGTTCGATCTCTTTACCTTGTCAGCATGTGTTGTTTCCTGTTTCTTCAGCAGTACTGGGGTTTGAACTCAGGGTCTTGAGTTTACTGGGCAAGTGCTCTAACACATGAGCCATGTCCAGCCCTTGTTTTAATAATGGATATCTTGACAGGTGTGAGTATCTCATAGTTTTGACTTGCATTTCTCTGATGATTAGTGGTGTTGAGCAGCTTTTCCTATACCTGTTGATCATTTGTCTTTGGAGAAATAGTCTGTTGTTCCACACACACACACAAATCTTTTTTTTTTTTTTTTTTTTTGTCTTTGTGTGTATGGTTTGGGGCTTTGAACTCAGGGCCTGATACTGCTAGGTAAGTGCTCTACCACTTCTCAAGACACACACCCTCCAGCCCTTTTTGCTTTAGTTATTTTTCAGAGAGGGTCTTGTTGTGTCCGTCCCCCCCAGCCTGCCCACCTCCTCACCCCCGCCCCAAACCTCCCTGAACTCATCTGGACTTCAGTCTTCCCATTTACACTTCCTGCTTAGCTGGGATCACAGGCATGCACTAGTGTGCCCAGCTCTTTTGTTGAGTTGGGCTCTCCCTGTTTGCCCAGGCTAACTTCAGTCCTTAGTCCTCCCATTGTCCACCTCCCCAGCAGCTGGGATTATAGTTGTGAGCCAGCACGCCTGGTCTTTTTCCTTTTTTGAGATAGCATCTCACTGTGTAGCCAGTTTATCCTTGAATTTCTGCCTCAGCCTCTGAACACCAAAATTGTAGGCCTCTGCAGGACACTTGGCTCCCTTGCCCTTTTCTTCTTTCTTCTTCTCTCTTTTTTGACACTATTAGGATTTGAACTCTGGGCTTCAAGCTTCCTAGGGAGGCCCTTCACTGCTTGAACCATGGCTCCATCTCTTTTTGCTCTTGTTATTTTGGAGATAGGTCTTGTTTTTTGTCTAGACCAGTCTTAACTGTAATCCTCCTATTTTAAGCTGCCAGTTGGTAAAGTGATAAGTGCTCATCGCCATGCCCAGCTTTATTGGTTGAGATGGGGTCTCTCGAACTTTTTGCCTGGATTGGCCTCAAACCACGATCCTCCTGACCTCATCCTCCTGAGTAGCTTACAAGTGTGAGCCATTGGCTTCTGGCTTGCCCAGTTTTTAATTGAGTTATTTGGATGTTTTGTTATTGAGTTGTGAGAACTCCTTACATGTTAGCTCCTTTCCTCCCATTTCCCAGGCTGACTCTCACAATGGAGATTGCTTTCTTGGCTGTCCAGAAGCTTCACAGTTTGATTTAGCTCCACTTGTCTCTTTCTGTTCTTGTTGCCTGTGCTTTGGGGGTTTTATTCATGAAATCATTGCAAAGACCAATGCTCTGAAGCTTTTCCTTTGTTTTCCTCTAAGGATTTAGTATTTTCAGGGCTTCTTATATTTAAATCTTTAATCCATTCTAAGTTTATTTTTGTGTATGGTGTAAGAAGAGGGTCAATTTCATTTTTTTGCATATGAAAATAGTTTTTCCAATACCATTTATAAAAGAGACAAGTTTTTCCCCATTGTGTAGTCTTGCCTCTTTTTTGAAGATCATTTGACCATATTTTTTTGGTATATTTGTGTCTGTCTTTAAGCTAGTAGTACACTGTTTTGATTAGCTTTGTAAAGTCAGCTAGTATGAGGCCTTCAGCTTTGTTCTTTCTTAAGATTGTTTTGGCTATTTGGGGTCCGTGTTGATTCCATTTTGAGTTTTTAGGATTTTCTGTTGCATTAAATCTTTAGGTTGCTTAAGATAATACTACATTTTAACAGTATCAGATCTTCCAATCCATACACTTGTTTGTATCTTTAATTTTTTTCAATAATTTTTTTGTAGTTTTCAGCGTACAAGTCTTTTACCTCAAGTTTATTACTAAATTTTTTTGGGGGGAGGGCATTGTGACTGGAATTTGAACTCAGGGCTCTGCATATGCAAAGCAGGTGTTCTACCTCTTGAGTCAGAACTCCAGTCCATTTTGCTCTGGTTATTTTAGAGGTGGGGGTCTTGTGAACTATTTACCCAGGCTAACCTTGAACCATAATCCTCTCAATCTTAGCCTCCCAAGTATCTAGGATTATAGGCATGAATCACTAGCACCCAGTTTAAATACTTTATTATTTTCGATGCTGCTCTAAATAGAATTACTTTCTTAATTTTCTTTCAGATTGTTCATTGGCAATATAAAAAAACAACTGAGTTTTGTAAGTTGGTTTTGTATCTTAGAACTTTGCTGGATTCATTTATTAGTGCTAATAGAATTTTTAGGGTTTTCTACATACAATGTCAGGTCATCTGTGACTAAAGGTAAATGTACTTCTTTCTTTCCAATTTAGATACCTTTTATTCTTTATCTTGCTTAATTGCTCAGGCTAGGATTTCTTGTACTGGGTTGAATAGAAGTGGTGAGAGTGAGTGTTCCTTGTTATATTTAGATGCACTCTAAATACTTAGAGTATACTATATTTAGAGGAATTCTTAAATACTTCCTCAGTGAAAAAAATTCCTCCTAGTAGTACCTGGTGCTTTTCAAGTGCCTTGTGTGGCTCTGCTACAGAGCCAGGGTTCTTCAGCACCTTACATCTTCAGACTCTGTGTCTGCAGAGTTGAGGGCACTGATGCTCAGAGAAACCTGCATTTGACTTTTTGGTTCTGGGGATATCTTTTTGTTCTTTAACTCTTTATGGATGATATGTTAGGTAGAGAGAGCTGAGACTGTAACTTCTTAACACCATTCTTAAGGAAGAATGGTATTTCTATTTTTTCATCTATTCTGTACCTATACAGTATAACTTTATCTTGGATTAACATAACATCCCAAGTGTGTCTGACTCAAACCTGTGTATTTATTTACTCTAACATCCTGCAAGAGAACTATGAGCTACAAGGAAGGTGACATTGTCTTCATTTTACAGATGAGAAAGCTGAAACTCAGAGAGTTGAAATGACCCAGCTAGGAAATGACAAATGATAGTTGAACCCAGGTTTAAGTACTCCCAACATGTATTCAGTGCATCACTGATTACACAGTGTCACCTTGGGGCTCACAGTAAGAGAGAGACAGGTGCAGTCCCTAGTCAGAGTAAGCTGCCTTCATGAGGACAGGCTGTTTAAACCCAGACTGAGTCTTTCCATGCCCTTCAAGTTCTGTCCTTGCTCTCACTACCATCTCTGAGGCTGCAGACAATGATTTCTGAGTTTTAAGGACCCACTAAGATAAAAGGTAGAGGGTTTTTTTAGGTATACATGACTGAATTTTAAAAAACAATTCCTCCAATTTATTGTAATTCAAGTGATTTATGCACCAGTTAAATATTTCTTGTTTTCTCTTCAAGCCCTGCATGCTAGCTGGTGTCCAGTTCTGAATGCATGTGTGTTTATGATCAAGGTAGCTCAGGGTTCCCTCAGAGGCCACTGGAACAAAAGAGTATGCAGGTTTCACGCAGATAGGCTTGGGAGATAATGTCCTCCCAGGTTTCCATAGGAACAACACATGAAAATTCATCTGGCCTCTCCTTCTTAACACTGACTCTTCTGTATGCTGAGAGTAGCCAGTTAGACCTAAACCCTAGGTTAGAGACTGTATAGAAGTTTATTTACTTTCTATAGAGAGCACTGGATTGAGTACTTACATACTTTGGTCTCTCCAAACTCTTCCCCAGACATGGGCACACAATGTGACCTTGTGCAAGTTCACTTATATGGGCTAGAATTTCTTAAACTTTCATTTAATAGGCTTTGGAATGTCTTTGTTAACAAAAAAAAGAAAAAAATCCATGTGAAAGTAGAGATTTTACAGAGGATATTTTTATGATATATTACCATAATTGCTTATAACAGTGACAGCCCACTGTGGTAGTATGCACCTATGGTCCCAGCTACTTGGGAGGCTAAAGTGAGAGAATTGCTTGAACCCAGGAGTTCAAGACAAGTCTGGGCAACATAGCAAGACCCTGTCCTTTTTTTTGTGGTACTGTGGCTTAAACTCGGGGCCTACACCTTGAGCTACCTCACCAACCCTTTTTTTTGTGATAGGTGTTTTTGACATAGGGTTTCACAAACTATTTTCCTGGGCTAGCTTCAAACCTCAATCCTCTTGATCTCTGTCTCCTGAGTCACTAGGATTACAGGCATGAGTCACCAGCACCTGGCTTACTCCATCTTAAAAAATAAAAAACGAACAGAAAAAACAAAGATGATGATAATGTTGTTATTAGTCCTTCCAATATTATTGCTGTGTGCCAGGCCCTTTCCTGAGTATTTGATGTCTATTAATTAATTGACTCCTCACATGAATCCTATTGAGATAGCGGTTATTATTCCTTTTTCCACACAGACGAAGGAACTTAGGTTCATATAGTTAAATGGCTTGCCCAAGACTGTACAACTAGAAGTGGCAGAACCTGGATTTGAACAAAAGTGGTTTAGCTACAGAATTTATATCTCAACCACTATGCTGAGATGGAAGAACCACTATGCTGTTCATCCTCTCCCAGAATACACAGACTTTTGAGTGGATAGAAGGACTTAAAATTCTATCTAGGCAGTGGTAGGAAGATTCAGTAAGGGAGTGGCATTTGTATTGGATCTTAAAGGGCAAGTAGGGGATTGTCATTGAGGAATGGTGTTCGAGGGTGAGAAAAGCATAGACTTAAGGACAAAGAGGACTTTTGAGAGTAGGATACATGGGCAAAGGGAAGGCCATGATAGACCATGGTGCTTGCTGGAAGATAAGAAGCCAAGCTGTCCTAGGAGGTTAGAGGAGAAGGAATCTGTAGTCTCTGGGAATCCCCTGAGACTTAAAGAAGCTCTCAGTCCTAAAGAAGGAACAGAGGGTGTTTTGTTTGTTTGTTTGTTTTGGTGGGACTGAGGTTTGAACTCAGGGCATCATGCTTACAAGGCAACTTGATGCATTCTGTTTGATATTGAGTATTGAGTATTTTCAAGATGGGGTCTCATGAACTATTTTCCCAGCTGGCTTTGAACCAGGATCCTCCTGATCTCTGAGTCCTGTTTTAGCTAGGATTACAGGCATGAGCCACAGGCTCTCGGCCAGAGGATGTCTTGAGCACGCAATCTAACATACATCCATTCCTTTGTAAAGATACAGAAGAAGAGATTGAAAGGATCATGTCTGGGCAGGAGTTTGAAGAAGAAGCCAATCACTGGAGCAACCATGGTGACAGTGACCACAGTTCTCCTGGGAACAGGGCTTCAGAGAGCAACCAGCCTTCACCAGGCTCCACACTGTCCTCCAGGTGAGATTTAAAGAAACCTGGTATGGTCATCTAGGGATCACTCAAAGACTAGCCCCCGCCACGGAACCTCTGGCCCAGCTTTCCTGCCAGGCGGTGTCAGTCATTGTGCCCTTGCTTCCTCAGGCTCTTGTGGGTAGGGGCGATGATAGTGCAAAGCCAGGTTTTCCAGCCCATTGTTAGCTCAAGACCTTGAAAATGTGGTCTTCTCTGCAGCTGAAAAGTACAATAGCTTCTATACATACCCGTACAGTCTTCACCTAGAATAATAGTGTTTTAAATGTAGCACTTTTCCTTTATTTATTTGCACTAGGCATCAGATCCCTCACTTAATTTATTACTGAAATAAAGCAAACCACACTGACTGTATTTACAATGTATTTGGCTTTCAAGAGTCAGTCTTTCTCACTTTTTAAATTTTAAGGAACAGTGAAGGTTTTTTAAGCCAGCCAAATTTGCTTTCAGGGAACACAAATTCTAGTGACTCTTGGAATACAAATTTAGAGATTCTTGATTCAAGTATGATATCTTAAGATAGTTGTTGGGTGTGAAATAGAGCCTTCAGCGACCAGAGAAGATCTCCTTTCTCCAGAAACATTTTTATAGGGCAGGGGTTGATAAACTTTTTCTATAAAGTCCAAATAGTAAACAAGCTTACTTGTTTGAGTCTCAGGTACTCAACTCTGCCTTTGTAATGTGAAAGCCACCATAGACAACATTGTAAACCAGTGAGTGTGTGTGGCTATGTTCTGGTACAAGTTTTACCAAGACAAGCCATGAGCTAGATTTAGCTTGTAGACCATAGTTTGCCATACTCTGCTACAGGAGATACATCTGGGTAAAGCTAGAGAATTTTTATTTATTTAATTGACAGAACGGTTAGATTTCTCTAAAAAAGAGGAACAAGGAAAGAGTCGGCCTTCCTCTCCATAAAACTTAGAGTTTTTATTCCATTCAGATGTTCCTTAGTTTTATTTCTTCCTTTGAACTTCCTTTGGACTTAGGAACACATGGTATGTTTCTTGCTAGGTACTAGATTTGTGTGTGTGTGTGTTGTGTGGTGTGTGTGTGTGTGTGTGTGTGGTGTGTGTGTGTGTTTGTGGCCTGGGAAGGCCACTTAGCCTGTCTTTGCGTTCATTTTTCCTAGCAGTAGAACAATACAAACACCCATTTTTGTCACCCTAATCTGGAACTACCCATTAAAACTGTACAAAGAATTCATCCAGCCAGTGTTTATTCAGTACCTATTCTGCTGGTCTCTGAGTTAGCCAGTGGTGAGCCCCACAGAATCTTTGTCTCACAGGTGGGAATCTAATAGTAGAGACATGCATGTAATCATTAGTTGTGGCTTTATGAGACAGAGACCATGGCCAAAGAATATCTAAGCCATCTTCTGGCTTATATTCTTTGAGTAGGCACTAGACCTGCCATGGCTTTGCCTAACATGAGACTTTTCTCTCCAGTAGGTCTGTGGAGCTAAATGGATTCATGACATTCAGGGATCAGTACATGGGGGTGTCTGTGCCTCCACATTATCAATACATACCACACCTTTTCAGCTATTCTGGCCACTCACCACTTCTGCCCCCACAAGCTCGCAGCCTGGACCCCCAGTCATACAGCCTGATTCACCAACTGATGTCAGCCGAGGACCTGGAGCCATTGGGCACACCCATGTTGATCGAGGATGGGTGAGTATACACTGCCCTACTTGGCCCTTGCAGTCTCACAAATGTCCCTGCCCTACACCACTTGCATCCCTGGCTGGTACACTTCAGGCTTTGGAATGAGTCAGAGAGGACAGGGAGTGATGACCAATCTGCTCATCTTTGAATAAGCACATTATTTCCTTAAGCATCTTTTCTTACAGAGGTTGGGCTTACTTTTCAGTCCCTATTTAATTGGGATTGAAGGGCCTTTGTTCCTGTGTGGGCCTAGGTAAACCAGGCCTTGGGATAGGTTCAGTGAGCTGTAATTTTGGGGATGATCCCACATCAAGTCTAGGCTACTTGACAAAGCATTCAAGACCCTACTGTTTGTAGCCTGTCTGCATTCCTAGGCCGCATATCCATGAGTAGCCTGGGATGTAGGCCTGAGTAGATGGAAGAAATACTCTGCAGTCGGCTTTACCTGAGTAGGTTATACTTCAGCCTTTAGGTCCATCCTTTGCTGCACCTAGAGCATAGGCTGTTTGAATGTTAATAAGCTTAGACTTCCCAGAAGGCATCGTGAGATTTCTTAACCTAGATTCCAGTTTCAGAAGAGACTCAAATACCAACCAAAAGGTCACACAAATCCTTTGTATATGTGGATGTGTGGGTGTAAGGACGAGGATACCAAGGGGCCTTGAGAGGAAAAACGCTGGAGCCCCTCTGAGGCCCCCATTAGGCCAAAGTTGAAAAATATCCTGCTCCTTCCATCCAGCTCTAGCTGAAAAGGGCTGATTCCTGAACTCTTACCACCAGGGGGTGCAGTGAGAACAGGAAAAGCTTCTGAACTTGGTCTATTCTATACTTTCCAGCTGTCTGGCTCCATTCAGTGTTGTTTTTTGTTGTTGTCATTTGTTTTTTGGTTTTGGCAGTTCTGGGGATTCAAGTCAGAGCCTTGCACTCTCCACTTCAGCCCCAGCCCCAGCTCCCTCAGTCTCATTTTTGTGCTGGTCTCTGCATTGGTGGGCACCAGATACACCCCATTGGAGTTCTTATTGCCAAAACTAGGACAGCAGTGACTTTGGATTTCCTCTAAGACATAGAACTTAGAGGACACTAAGTCATATTCTCTAATATTTCTACAGATTTTTAAGCCTTCTTTCCTCTTAGCAACCTTTTTTCACCAGATCTGGCCTGAGCTTACGGCTAGCTTCAGTCCTACCCCTTTATAAGAAAATTGAGTTGAATAAAACTGGAAATTCCATGGTCAAGGACAAGGGGCCCATTGCTAGGACAGTCTGTGTCCTCAGGAATACCCTCTCCCTGTGCTTCTATCCTCACCCTCTGGCTGATGGAAGTGCCTTTCCCCTGTCCCTACCCACAGATATGCTGTGACACAGGCAGAGCTGTTTGCCCTGCTTTGCCGCCTGGCTGATGAGCTGCTCTTTAGGCAGATTGCCTGGATCAAGAAGCTGCCTTTCTTCTGCGAGCTCTCAATCAAGGATTACACGTGCCTCTTGAGCTCTACATGGCAGGAGTTAATCCTGCTATCGTCCCTCACAGTTTACAGCAAGCAGATCTTTGGGGAGCTGGCTGATGTCACCGCCAAGTACTCACCCTCTGATGAAGAACTACACAGGTGAGAGCTGCTAGCTGGAGAGGAAATCCCAAGGATCCAAACCATTGTCATACCTGCAAGGAAGGCTTGTCCAGCCCTTTAAAAGATGGTCAGGATTTCAATGACCTGGATTTCAGTTCTTACTCTGCCACTTGGCCAAGTCCCGTGATCTTCAGATTCTGAGTTTATAAAATGGGTTGGTAACAGTACCTCCCCAACAAGGTGGTTGTGAGGAATAACTGTTGTACAGTCAAACTTAACAAAGTACTAAACTATCTGGATTAGTGAGGTGAGGTAATATAGCTGGGAAAAACAAAAATCTAAACTGCCTACAGGCAAGAGAGACTCTGAACTGTAGTTCATCATCCAAGAAAGAGACCTGGGAGGCAATTTGGAACCTACTGTATGCCGTGCACTAGACTATCTATTTTATATTGTCTTATTTCTTTCTCACAGCTTCCAACATTATAGGCGTCATTGAGCCTGTTCTGTAGATAAGAAAACTGAAGTTCATAAAGTGTGGCCCTTATGAGTTTTGGATTTGAATCCACAGTAGGTTTGAACTTGTGCCTTCCTAACTGCAAAGCTTAGGCTCTTCATGATACTGAGATGTAGTGAGCTGTTAAAAGAGTATCGGACTAAAGCCTGAGTAGGTATTCTGGCTGTTTTGTGCCATTAGGTTTTGTCCTAGCTGGCAAACATCTTTAACCTGTCTAGAATGGCTGTCTTCCTGCTGCTTCCATGGCCTGTCCAAGTACTGTTTTAGTCACTTATTTTGGAGACCTGGGGCACATGTCAGCTATTTTCTGACCACCAATCATGGAATAAAAACAAGGTCAAAGCTCAAACAGGGAATAAAGCTCCAAGCCCTTCAAGAGCCCTTCGTACATCTGCGTAGTGGAGAAGTCTGGGTCCTGACTTTCCCTCTGGGCTTTCTAATATTTCCTTATTAATGATGCTTACTAGTTTCAGGGTGATCTATAGTGACACTTTGTCCTATAAACAGAGTTAACTTTGCAAATGACCTAACCACTTGTTCAGAGCCTCTAATTCATCATTTTCATCAAATTCCTGTTCCCAACTCCATTACTCTGGGCTGAGGGGATGTGTGGATAGCAGTCAGCCTGCTCTGAAGTTGTCAGAGTTTACAGAACTGGCCCAAGAAGCCCAACCTTACTGCCTAGAATCTACCAGCTTGGCCTGGGACTGTCTACATAGAGTCAGCCTCTGTGCTCTGTTCCTTTTAGCATCATAGTTCTTCCCAGGGCCCCTTCTGCAGATAGGTAGGGATTGCTGGCAGTTCAGGGCTGTTTGTGAATTTGACTTTCATAAGGACCCCATCCCACTTTGATCCCCAAGACCAAGGCAGGGGCCAAGTAACAGCTAAATTACTGAGGAAACCTTTACTTCCTAGCAAGCCTCCTTACCAAGGAGGATCTTGGTAAGGAACATACTGCAATGTCCAGTGTAGTAGCCACTAGCTTCATGTAGCTTTTTAAATTTAAATTAATTAAAATTAAAAGCCCAGTTCCTCATTTATACTAGCCACATTTTAAGTATTCAGTAGCCACATGTAGCTAGTGACTACTGTACTGGAAAGTGCAAATACAGGACATTTCCATCACCACAAAATGTTCTCTTGACCAATGCTAACTAGAATACATGTTGCTGCTGAGCTCTCAAGTGGGTTCTGAGGATAAGAAATGAATTTCTTAGCCAGGCAAATAGTTTGTGAGACCCTATCTCAAAAAAATCCACCACAAAAAAAGGGGGCTGGCAGAGTGGCTCAAGGTGAAGGCCCTGAGTTCAAGCCCCAGTACCGCAAAAAAGAAAGAAATGAATGAAATTTCTTATTCAGATTCTCACTCTGCTGTGGAACCCATCAACAAAAAAATAAGAGTTAAACTTTACCATATTAGTTCTAGTCCATGTCCATTTACTGAGCATCTATTGTGTTTGCGAGCGTGGGGTTGGTGAGATCACCGATGATACAGATGGGTTTTTGGGGGTTTTTTTTTTCTCAGTAGTAGGGATTAAACCCGGGTCCTTATATGTGCTAGCTAGTGCTCTAAAATCCTCAGCCCTTTACCATTTGATTTTGAGAGAGGGTCTCTCTAAGTTGGTCAGGCTGACCTCAAACTTGTAATCATTTCTGCCTCAGCTTCCCAAGTAGTTGCAGTTACAGGTGTGTGCCATCATGTCCAACTCAGTCGTGGTACTCTGAGAGTACCTATTCTTGGTTTAGGGGGTTGGGAAGCAAATAGAAGCATATCCAATCTACAGTGAAGGCTCATATTGGTGGAGGTTGAATGATGTGTGAAGAACTATACAAGCACAGACCCAGGGAACAAGGGCTGTGCTCATAGGATCAGGAAGGCTTATCACAGGTACAGACACTTGAGCTGTACCTTAAAGTTGGAATTTTCTAGTACATTATTTAGAATAGGAAGAAAGCTGGAGAATAACACAAAATTCTTGAAGTTAGAGACTAGAGATAGTTGCTATGTGCAAGGATCCAAAGACAATCAAGCAGATTAGGGTATAAAGAGAATGTATATGACTCTGGGTTCAATCTCCAGCACCAGCAAAAGAGAGGAAGGGAGAGGAGAATATATATGAGAGAGGCAGAAAAATGAGAGAAATAGTGACTGGAGAGAAAAGGTACAAACAAGCCAGTTCAAGAAGGTACTTAAATGCTAATGTAAAGAATTTGCTTTTGATTTTGTAAATAGTATGTCATGGGAAGTTTCACGTGGAAGAAACACTTAGGTCACGTTTTCAGATTTCTGTGGCTGCAGCACTCGGGATAGACTGGTGTGGACAAAGTAGAGTGTATTAGCTGATGGGAGGCTGCTGCATAGCTGAGTAAAGGGAAACAAGGCCTGGGCAAGGCAGCAGCGGTGTGGGAATGAGAGCAGCACAAAGCTGAGAGATGTCAAGGAGGCAAATTCAGTTGGACTTATGAGTGAGTGGCAAGACTTGGGGCTGCTGCTGAATTTTCAGGGTAGCTTGGGAGACAGGCACCAATTATCTCAGCCAAGATAAAGTAGCTGGGAAGAGCACGCTGGGAGATGAGCCACTCTGAGTTTGGTTTGGATGTCTGTGAAGTTGAGGTGCATGTGGGACCAGGAGGTCAAAGGATATGGAAGTGTGAGAGCATCTGGAGTCAGGCTAATCACTGTCAAGCATCCCCTCTGGTAGAATCCCCTGGTGTGGGATCTAATTGCACACCTTGCCTGTGTGCTACTCCCACTCTCCCACACAGCCTTTTACTTCTTCACAATTCTTGAGTGTGAGTGCCTACTGTCAGGAAAAGGCTTTTCCCAAATGATGCATGACCACCTCTTGTTCTCTTCTCAAATAGTGAATCAAATTTATGGTGCCCATATTCCTTAATCAGACTGTTACCAGACATTGAGCTGGATTTAAAGCAGATTGTAGCACCAGCCAGTGACTGCTCCTGCCCTAATCAACACTCCTTCACTCCTCGGAGAAGATGCCTTAAGCTAGATAGACTTTAATGTGCACTGTGTCTCAGGAGCACTGGCTTCATTTTGGCCAGGTCTTTGGAAAGCTGCCTTCCAGCTTCCCAGCCTACCCTGTAAGACTCAGGAAACACAGTCTTTTTCTGCAGTGACAGGACTGGTTGATGATACTAATATGTAATAGCTCACAGTTGTAGAGGATTTGTTGCAATGCAAGTTCATCTTCAGTGTTTTGCACATGTTACTGTTTTGCTCTATTTGTTTTGTTTTGAGACAAGGTCTCAGTGTAGCTCAGTCTGGCTTCTACTGCTATCCCAGGCTGGCTTCAAGCTTGGAATCCTCCTGCCTTAGAGCCTTCCAAGTGCTAGAACTATAGACGTGTACCACCACATACGGCTTACATATGTTACTTGTTGAGTCTTCACTGCCATCCTGTGAGATTGGCACTAATATGACCCCGTTCTGAAGATTAGGAGCATGAGGTTCCGAGAGATGAAAATTCAACAGCCGCAAAGCTAGAAAGACATGGTGTTACAGTTATCACCTAGGTCTGTCGTGCTCCAAAGCCTAGGCGTCTCAATATTACCTTGTACTAAATTCTTACTCACCAAGAGCCTTCTCAAAAGGGTTGACTTTTTGGAATTTGTCCTGGAGTCACAATCTGACATTCCCTCTTGGAGTCTGTGTGTGTGTGCTAAGATGGCAGTTCCTTGAAGGTTGCAGCTGATGACTGCCTGTGGGGGAAGGTACATTTAGATGAATGGAAAGGAGACAACTGGCCCCTTAATGGGATATAACTTACATAGTGTCAGCTTCAATTGCTGACTGAATGGTCCAGTGGTTTGGGGGATCCTGGCAGGAATGTTTTCCCTGTCCTAGCATGCTGGTTGATAGGAACCTAGAAGAAGAATGGGTGTGTTTGTCCAACTTTATGGCTTTGAATGCTGATAATGTGTAGACAGAATAGAGGGGTGTCAGAACTGTGGAGTGGGCAGATGTGGAGGAGGAACGGCTGCAGGAGAAAACAGGCCTGTGGAACAGAGAACAACTTTGTTTATCAAGGGGTGGGATGTGGGTGTGGAGGAAAGCTTTGCAACCAAGCTATGGAGACTGAGTGGGGGCTGCTGAGCTGGCTGCAACCCCCCCCACACACACACACTCACACAACACACTCTGCCAGGGGTCCGTGGTGGTTGGGGAAAAGAGTGCATGTGCTGTTCCCAAGAGAAAGGGCAGATCTGGGGCACATGCACAGGCCGAGTAGTTGAGAACTCCTTCATGTCCCCAGGTCGAGACTCAGTCAGGAACAGGTTTGGCAATGCTGGCTAGGCTGTCTGACTGATAACCACACACCTGTGGGGACTGCAGTGCCAGAGTGAGCACTTGGGGTAAGAGGTTGATTAAGGGACAGAGCATTATCTTTGCTTGTCACACTGCTCACCCATCAGACAGATGTCAACACTGCTTCTTTCCTTGCCTCCTCCTTTGTTGTGTCCCACCTCATCTCATCCCCCCACCTCACCTGTCCACACAGATACTAAAGGGAATTGGCAGTGAGGTTCTTTTCTTCTGCTCTTACTTCTCATCCTGGGATGAGGAGCGATTATCACTTTTAGGCACAACTCCTCCTTCGAGTCTCAGCATCATAAAGGCACCCAGCACCCCCAGGTGGGTTGCTGTGGGAACACAGAATTCCTGAGATTCTCCATGGTAGCATGAGGAAGCCTTTCCTAGTTAGCACTTAAGAACATGACAGGATCAGGTTAGGCAAGTGTGATGTGAGGAAAAGCCCCTACACTTGGAATTGGAAATTTTAGGCTCCACCAGCACCTACTTACTATGTGACTTTAGAGTGGTTACTTTTATTTCTGCTTCCTCACCCCTAACATAGAGTTTATATGATCTCACACATTATCAAGAAGATAAACTGTAAGAACACATGTGAAAGGGCCTTAATACATGATAGAGGCACATTACATAACCTCTCTGAGCCTTTGTTTCTGCACTGAATCTGTTTGATGAACAAAACAGATGATGATTTTTTTTTGATTTATTGAGAATAATCAATGAGACAATGTATGTGAAATACTTAAGTTGCCTGGCAGGTAGCAAACATTCAACACATGATACAATGGTAAATAAGGTTGCTACAGTGCTATTTAATATGAATTTGTCTATCAGCCAGTCTGGGAAAGTATCAATAAAGTTATAAAAGCCTTTGGGCCAGATACAGAGAGAAACTAAGTCAGCCATCATAGTTCAAATCAGCAGACTGGGAGAAGCCCAGCTCAGATTGACTTTCTTCATTTAGTGGTGTCTCTGTGATATAAAGCGTATCCAGAGCGTGATTAATCCTTGGAGTGGCTCAGGCTGGTGCTCCTTGGCTGAAAACTTGATCTTTCACCAAGGAGCTCAGTTCTAGCCACAGAGAAGGAAGTATGGCCTCTCTGAGCCCCTCTGCTGGGGCACAGCTCCTTTGACATTGGGAAAATCAAGGCATCAGGGAGTTAGCTCAGTTCCCAAGTTCTAGTTCTGCCACATCTAGCTGTGTGCAGTGGGGAAATCCCTCTCTTCTTTGAACTTCAGTTTCTTACCTGTACAATGGCAGTGATTATCTCACCTTACTCACAGGGTTGAGAGAGTGCCCAGAGAAAGTGCCCAGCGCAGAGACTAGCATGCTGTGGAGATGGAGTGAACGTTACCTTTCCTCTCTGTCTAAAGTCGGGGATGCCAACAAAAATTTTCATTGTGCATAGACTCAGACCTGCTTGAAACAGCAAACCTAAATAATTACAGTTGGCAGCTTTTTCAGCACTGTGGCAGAGGCTTCCACAGACTCACCATGACAGCTGCCATTGATGGTAGAAGCTGCAGATTGATAAAAGTAGAGCCTTAATATTGTCCTATTTCTCCTCATTCACATCTCATTCCTCCTTTTGCCCTTGTTAGGCCAAGCAGGCAAGCATTATTATTTTGCAGAGGAGGCCCTTAAAGCTGGGTTGGAGTAGGGGAGGATGAGGAATCAAATGACTGTCCCAGAGTCTCAGAGCTGTGTGTGGTGGAGATGGATTTGAACCTGTATTTGCTTGACTCTACCAGCCCTCGGGGCTTGCATGGGCTATGCTGGATTCCATTACTCCCAAAGTCAGCCTCTTTTTTGTCTTAGATTCCTTAAGGAGTGATCTGTAGGAGCCCTCTGTCTGTCCTTCCTGGCTTGTGCTGGAAGGTTTTTACTCACAACCTGAGTAAAACCTGTGTCTGTTCCCCAGATTTAGTGATGAAGGGATGGAAGTGATTGAGCGGCTCATCTACCTCTATCACAAGTTCCATCAGTTAAAGGTCAGCAATGAGGAGTACGCGTGCATGAAAGCAATTAACTTCTTAAATCAAGGTGAGTAGCTGGGGGAGGGGAGAACAGATTTTTGTTTTGTTTTGTTTTTTTAATTTATTTTTGCCAGTGAGCCTTTGCCTTCCCCCTTCCCTCAGGACTGTTGTAGACTCTGTCACACCACATGCCACATGGCTACCAAATCTTGAAAGTCCTGTGCCCCTCCTTGTCATCACCCTACCACTTTATAGGGCAGGGAGTGCTTTAGCTTTTTTTCTTGAAACCTAAATGCCACTATCTCTATAACTCATAGAGGAAGGAAGACGATTCACTTTGTTTAGTCAGTTTTAATGCATTTAAACACAGACACCAAGGACAGTACATGCGTCATTTAAAATATGTACCAAGTTTACCAGCGACTGAAGAAGAGCAGAGTGACTGATGAAATTATTGGAGATAAGGCCCTGTGACAGGCTGGCAGTGGCTGAGACACTCAGGGAAGAATGGTGGTGCACAGAAACACACACGTATGAAGCCTGGGTTTTCATTAGAAGAGTGCCAGGTGTGATTTGTAGAAAATATTATCAGCAAAGTGGCACTCGGTTGCTGCTGATAACCAGCATGTGAGGAAGAATTCACATTCTATTTCCAAAGTAGCTGATGAGTGGCCCACTCCCAGGGTGGAGCTGGACACCAAAGGTGCTCTGTCCACAGACCCTTGATACCGTCCTCTTTGCCACTCTCCCCGATGCCAGCTAGCCGCCTCCTCCTCCTCCCCCTCCTCCTCCCTCTCCTCCTCCTCCTCCTCTTTCCCCCCCACCCCGTCTCTTTACCATTCATGCCCTTGTCTAGTGTTCTGCATGCCTTCCCTAGCTAAGCCCTGTGCTGTGCGTTACACATGTTGAAGAAAACTAGACCCCAGGTCTGTCAAGAAGTATATACCCTGATGGCATTTGACACTTATACCGCATCTGGGCAGAGATCCATTACAGCCTCTTGGAATTTTGAGCTGGGCCTCAAAGGCTGAGTATGATTTATATACAAAATATTTTTATTCATATTCTATAATAAAAAGATGTGTACATGGATGGATGGATGGATGGATAGAAATCTGTGCAGAAAAAAAATGAAAGGATTGTCCAGGTAGAATAGCAAGAGCAGAGGGACACTGGAAGTTGTGTGTGTGTATTAGCTTCACGAAAGTGTAGGTATCGGCAAGGGTTCTGATTGGCTTTAACAATGGGCAAATCAAAGATACTGTAAAGGATAAGTTTAGAAAGGTAGATTTGTCAGTCATTTGTTCACTAATACCTGTTTTGTGCCATGCCCTGTACTGGGAGCTGGGTGTAAAGTTGAGAAGGATAGCCTAGCCCTCAAAGGGCTCAGTCTAATGACAGTCATATTTCTCTTCCCTTATTCAGAGCTTAGTTCCATCTCAGAAAGAGAAAAGATGCCCTGTTGTGGCCATGTTTAGTAGTTTTTAACTGAAACATGCACACACACAAGAAACTGGTGCTTTTCGACATAGAGAGCCTCTCCCATTCCATGTGTGGTTTTTTTGACAGATATCAGGGGTCTGACCAGTGCCTCACAGCTGGAACAGTTAAACAAGCGATATTGGTACATTTGCCAGGATTTCACTGAATATAAATACACTCATCAGCCAAACCGTTTTCCTGATCTCATGATGTGCTTACCTGAGATTCGATACATTGCAGGTAATATTCTGGATCCTGAGTTTCCCAAACCTTTCTTGTTTCTCTGAAATTTGTAAAGGGAATGACACAAAGCGGTGTTTGCAGGATACTCATTCCAGGCCCATCACCAGCTGCATCTAGCCTCAGAGTTTGTGTTGTTTGCTTTTTTTTTTTTTTTGTAGTATTGGGATTCAAACTCAGGGCCTCTCGATTGATAGGCAGGCACTCTACCATATGAGCCATGCCGCCCCAGCACTTTTTTACTTTAGTTTATTTTTCAGATAGGGTGTTACGCTTTTGCCAAGAGTAGCCTCAGACTGTTATCATCCTACTTCCTTCTCCTGAATAGCTGCAATTACAGGTATGCCCCACCATGTCCAGCCCAGCCCATTCAGCTTGTTTTTTGAGATAGTGTCTCAATAGCTTTTTTCACCTGGGCTGGCCTTGAACTGAGATTCTCCTATCTCTGCCTCCCAAGTAGCTGATATTATAGGTACGAACCAACATGCCCAGCTATATTTTTTGGGTTTTTTGGTTTTTTTTAAGAGAAGAGAAGCTAATTATTCCTAAAATTCCATTATGAATGGGTACTTTGTGATCTTGTTACCATTTGATCTCAGAGCAATCTACAAGACTAGTGATTTTATGGCCATTGTTATGGATGGAGAAACTGACTCAGAATATCTCAAATTAACTTCATTTTCTGAATTATATACTTTAAAAGAGTGAATTTCTTGATATGTGAATTATATTTCAGTTTAAAAAGCCAAACACATCTCATTTCATAGGATTGCCCATGGGCTTTCAGGGGCCATTGAAAGTGGTGTCTTTTGGTGGAATTTTATGTGTTGGGGCATGTGCAAGGTCTTGGTCCTCCTTCTAGCTTCTTGGCATTAAACGAGTCCATTTCGATGCATAATCCTGGCGTTTTATTATTGCTTTGCTTCATTTAGTAGAGATTCCTGTTTCCTGCTGTTCAGCACACACTAAAGTGACCTTTAGACTGGGATTGTTCCTGAAAATTTTTATATTTTTGAAGGAAAAAATGTCAATCTGACAAGGGAATTAGGGCACAGAGCAGTCTAGCAGATATGGGCTGGGCCTGGCAGCACTTTCAGTGACCTGGGAAGCTTCTATCAGGGTTTGGGTTGAACCTACAGATACTTTGGTTTACTTGGTAGGGGCAGAGCCCAGGCATCAGTGTTTCCTCAGTGTTCCTGGGTATCTCAGATACTGCTGGGGAGACGAGCCACAGCTTTAGATATTCACCAGCGTATTAGCTACTTAGTGCTCTGAGAGGATGGTAGTAAGGAAGCCTGTAAGTCTTTTATCCCTGTGACTCCTCCCTTTGTTCCCTCGTACTTTTTGAAAGCAATGTTCTTGAGAATGCTAGTTATTCCCCTAACAGAAAAAAGAAAACACTAATTCTCTCGTGGTATTTTTGCTCTAAGAGGGCTCAAGTAGGACTCCGTCTCATTTTCAGACTCCTCATCTGTAAAATGGGGATAAAAGTAATGTCACACAGATATGTAAGCTTGAATGAGGTGATGCATTGAACTGCCTAGCACACCCCCAGTATTGCAGATAGTAGAATGGTTGTGAGTTGGCTTCATCACTAGTCTCCTAAGGCACCCAAATGAGTCTAGGTAGGCATCAGGGTATTGTTGATACCCTTGTCTGACATTTGCCATTACTTCTGGCACTTTCCTGGACCCAGTCACTTAGCAAGATGATGTTCCCCTTTCCCCAGCCCAATAGAAAGCAAGCTGGCCCTCCACAAGTGGCCCCTGCTAACTCTTCTCTTCTTCCCTTTTCCTAGGAAAGATGGTGAATGTGCCCTTGGAGCAGCTGCCCCTCCTCTTTAAGGTGGTGCTGCATTCCTGCAAGACAAGTGTGGTCAAGGAGTGATCTGTGCCCTGTGCCCTCAAGTCACCCACAGGGGCTTGAGTAGGCAGGACAGGCTACAGAGGAAAGAGCCAGAGAGACCAACATGAAGGCTGTGGAGCTCTTGCCTCCACAGCAAGAAGAGTTTTTGTTTATTTGTTTTTTTAACCTCATTTTTCTATATATTTATTTCACGACGGAGTTGAATGTATGGCCTTCAACATGATGCACATGCTTTTGTGTGAATGCAGCAGATGCATTTCCTTGCAGTTTACAGAATGTGAAGATGTTTAATGTTACAGTGTTGTCATTGTTTAGAGATAGTTCTTTTGTATTTTGAGGGAGAGGGTGGGATGGGCTGAGATGACTATTTCCATAATGTTGACAAAGATGACTACCTCAATGGAAATGGGGGTGTAACCATCCCTTATTTTTCCACATTTTCTCAGCAGACTTACATGCTTGTCTGTCAGAGAGCAACCGCCTTTTTCTAGCCATAGACTTGTCAGTGAAAAGAGTACAGTACACCAAAGGGGTGAAGTGGTGTGAGGAGACTTACCACGCAAGATGGGCGAGGCATTTGGAATAGGTCGGGAGATGAGGGTTAGCTATCTCTTTTCTTTGGAAAGCATTAAAGTTGAGATTAGAGCACAGTGGCCAAATCTGAAGCAGGACTCCTCCCACTCAACAAGTCTAGAGGGTTCCTGTACTCAACCGTGCCGCACCCCACACACCATGCAGGGCCTGGCAACGTCGGTCCATAGGTCTTGCCTGCTGGCTCCCTTGGGGCTCACAGCTACCTAGTTTCTTTATGTAGATCTACTCAGGCCTACCTTCCTCAGGTTCCTTCCCTTTCCCTTACAAATTTGACTTTCTGTCAGCCCTTAGAAAAACTGAACAAAATGCCATTTTCTTAATCATGGTACTTACTACTGATTTACTCTTCTTTCACTTGTTTTCTTCAAAGGGCAGAGGGACAAAGGCCAGGCTGCTGAAAGAATAAATACTCCATTGGAATCCCCTGTTCCTACCCCACCTCTAGAACTGAATCCAAAAACTACAGTCTCTTTTTGTAAACAGTGAAAAAGACCATTCACCTGTCCACTGAGCAGAAATTTTGTTCCTAAATTCTATTCCAAGTTCTCCTCATCTCTTCAAAATGAGATATGGTTTGCCAGGGCCCCAGAATAGAAAGCCCAAGGCCCAGAGTAGCTCAGCTACCCCTCAGTGGTCTGGCTGACCAAGGCCTGAGGCCTGGAGCCAAAAGCACCTGGAAGAGAAGGAGGGCTTTAAACTACCTCATGTTCCTAAGGCCCTGGCTACTGCCCTCTGCAGGTATGGCCTCGGACCCCTTGTTCTTTCACTACCTGCCCCACCAGTCTGGGGAAATGTTCCTGCCCTCTCACCTTCAGCAAAGGGTGCACCAGGTTTGTCTTGGAGCTGCTCCAGGTGCTTTTCCCTTCTCTTAATATAGCAGTTGCTCACACCTACAGCCAGTGCCCTAGACAGATGTTTTGCTGGGTGCACCCCTGGGTGGACTGGAGGGGCCCACAGTACCTCCTTCAGCTTGTTTGGTCAAAAGCAGTATGATCTTCCCCAACTCAGCATTGTAAACTAACCTAGGGGGTCACCATCTTGTATACATACTGAATAGTTTATATCTGATTGTAATTTTTTATTTCCTGTGAAGTGTTACGGGTACCAGCAAAATGATGATTTTTGTCTTTTGATGGCTCAGACCATTACTCCTCAATGCCATTTCCCTAACTGCTCTGAGAAAGCGTGAGAGACGTGTTCCTCAGGAAAAGCTCCGGCTAGCATGGTTTTCATGTCAGTAGGAAGGAGAGTGTGTGTGTGCCTGTCTGTCTGTTTACTTCTAAGTTCACAATATTTTTGTTTGCCTGGATTTTTTTTTTTTTTTTTAATTTAACCAACTAGATCACATTCTTTGGCCACAGGTCAGATTCTGAGCTGCTTCCCTCAAGATCTGGGAGGAGACACATATCAGAGACCCCCTTCTCTAAGACAGCTCCTGTGTGCGGCATCTTTCTTTGCTTAGACTTCCATCTGTCAAATTATTGTTTTTTGAAATTGCTTTTCAAATTAGCATTTTACCCATTGTGTTGGATGTCAAAGGATTTGCTCTCCGACGAAACAAGAACATGTCTCTCCAATAATGTAGTATTAAACGGAGCAAGTTGTTAATTTGTGGAGTGGGGAAAGGTTCTGCAAGTTGCCATTGTACAAATCCATTTTTACAAATGTTTGCAGCAGATTCCACAGAACAAAGAGCCCATTCATTGCCGAGAGCCCTGCAGAATCTCTGAGCCAAGTGGCTGTGTGTTCTGAGCCGGAGCCTGACCTGTGGACCGCCTTTAATGTCTTCTGCACACAGTCCTTTCATGACGTGGGCTTCTTTTAAACAGGGTAAAGTGAATGTGTTGCATTGCAAACTCAGGTATTATGATGAGAAGGTAGGAGTGTAGCTAGCAGCGTGGAGACATTAGGTCAGCCACTAGATGTATTTGTGAATTTGGTTTGAAGGACACAGAGAAAGGTTGGAGGGGGAGGATTGGTATGTTTGTTTTTTGCCTTTCTTCCCATAATGTTTGGTTAACAGGCAGCCTTTTTGCTAGTGGAAGAAGAAAAAAGTTGTGTGTGTTGTCTCTGATTCCTCTCTTCTGTCCTCTCTCTGATCCCAGCCACCAAAAGTGATCCCAGCACTCACTTTGAGTGAGAATTTTTCCACCATAAAAATTTAACCCTAAAGCTGTGTGGAAAAGGAGAATCCCACCTCCTTGCAATACTTTATAACATGCAAGCTTTTTTCCTTTTGAACATTTTCTTGGCCAAAAACAAAGATCTGGAATCTTGGAGCTTCATCTGTGACTCATGCTCTCAGACCCCTTTGTAGACTTTTTGGAGTCCTTTGCAAGGATTGGTGGTCTTGCCCCTAATCTGGAAAATTCCCAAGAGCCTGTCTCAAACACTCCAGCTGGCTCGGAGGACATCCAGTCCCCATGCCCAATCTACAAATGATGGTGGACAAGCCTCCAGGGATAGCAGGAAACAGGAACTCTCCATCCCCAGTACCAGAGCAGGGATGGGAGAATGTAGCGGTCTCCATGGTGTCACTGAAAGCCACTCACTCCATACACATCTGCCTCTGACCTGCCCCCACTTCTCAGTGAAGTGAGTACCAGCCATGATCCAGTGTCTCCTGGTCTGTACAACCCTGGCCTCTGGGCTAGCTGCCTTTCCCTCCTACCCATTGGCAACATTTCTTTGTTCTTGATTTCCTAGAGAATGGGACAGATGGAGACAGGCAGCATCTTAAGCCTTGCCCAAGGTGGCCAGAGTAAAGGGATCCTGGCCTCCCAGAAGGGCAGGAAGTTAAGCAGTGGTTCCAAGTCTTCAGCTCTGGTCCCCTTGATCTATGTGTTTTTCCTCATTACTTTTTAAGTTTTTGCAATTGTTTTAAGAAATCCAGTCTTTCAGACCAGCCCTTCTATCAAACTTTGAATTTTTCCTTAATGATTTTTAAAGTGAAAAAAAAAAAAAAAACCCAAAACAAAACAAAAACTAAACAAAAAACCCCCCACTACTCTACTCCCCCACCTTGATGCACACGAGTGCCCCCGCATGCCCCTCTGCCTTTGCCGTTGATCATCCTCCCTTTCTCCTCGGCTGGAAGTATCCAGTGTCTGAAATGTTTATCTGTATCTCAGGATGAAAAACGGCAATCATCCCACCAGGTGCTGGAAACTGGTCAGCCTTGAGGCAAGCGTTTCTGGGACCACAGCTCAGGGATGTGTATTTAATTACAGGGTCCCCAGAAACCCCCTCTTGACTGCCACAATCAGCATCTTTGCTGGGCTTAGGAGCTAGACCTGGACTCTTTCCTCAAAGGCAGATGTCCTGGAGTCTGTTGAGTCTGGGGGCAAGCTAAGGCCTCCTCTTTGGTCAGGCCTCAGCTGCCCTGAGACTTGAAGACTTCTCATTTTCCTGCCACATGAGCTCTGGTAGCCCTGCTTCTACCAGCTCATAGGAAGCCTAGCCCCTCTATCCAGTCTGGTCCCTATTCTGGGCCTGTAGCTCTCAGTGGGCCAGAGCTTGCTCAGGGACCAACTGTAGGCTCAAAGGAAAGTTGAGGAAGGCCAGAGCCTGCTCCAAGCCCAAGAGAAATGTGCTGTCTTCCAAATCCTGGAACCAGCCCTGCCAGCCAGAGGGTCCTCAGTGCCCTTTGGTGACCATTGCTTTATTTGTTCAAATGTCTTATGATAGGTGATAATGTTGTTGACTCAAATTTTCATGAAAAAAGAAAAAAAAAAAAAACTACCTCTTGAGTGACATCCTGGTCGATTCCTCTCTGAGGAATCCTGTGGGAGAAAAGAATATAGCTCCCGAGCTGTTTACGTGTTTCTGTTGGGAAAGAAACCCTGTCTGCCTTGGGCTGTTGGTGTTTTTGTCTGTGCTACCATCCCAGGCCTATGATAGGGGCTTGTGGCCACATTGTAATGTCTGGGCTCTGTCTGGGGAGTCCTTCCCATCTGCCCAGCTAGGGACAAGCCACCTTCTCAAAGAGGTCTTAGTCCCCTTCCTGTGCCCCAAGGCATAAGGAGCACCACCTCCCAAAATACCACTCTTGGGCTCTGGTGGCACATGCATCACAAGCCTATCCCTGACTACCTGTCCTAGGTCCCCCCTTACCCACAGTCCTCTGTAGGAATCGAGCAAACGGATGTCTCTGAGCCCTTGCTCCCAAAGGGCTGGCCAACAGCCTGGCTCCACCAACCCTGCGTGGACAAATGACAGTTGGCAGGCTCTGCAGGCTGCTCAGGCCCTCTGCTACCTCCCACACCTGCCTGCTGGCATGGGGTGGGCCCTGTCCTGTGAACTGACTACCTGTGGAAATGTGACCAATTAGTGTGAAGTGCATGTTTAGCAAGTGTTAGGTACTGTATTTGAACCAATAAATGTGAATCCTTCTGCACATGACATCTGTCTGTGAAGCTTGTCTGGGGCTTGGGTGGAGGGAAGGTGGGGACCCTGAGGCAGGGACTGTAGGGCCTGGCAGGGTGTGGTGTGTCTCAGCACTGACTGATGTACCTGCACCATGTGCCAGGCTGTATGTTGGGACTTTTCACAGACCTCATCCTC